CATATGGGTAAAAGGTACTATATCATATTAAAAAGTAATATTGGGGAGCTTCATCTTGCAAAAAAAAGTAAGACATGTAGGAAGCTAAACATATCATTGTGTTGGATAAGTTGGTTTATTAATGTTAGTTTTTAACGAAGTAATATGAGGTTTAGAAATAGCAAAAAAATTAATAACACGACATTGTTAAATGTTACCGCCAATACCTGAAATAAATCGTTATAATCCTCAAGCTAGAAGTCGAGAAAGTAGAATAAGTACAACATCCAAATCACATCGAGTTATGAGTCAAAAGGTGTAGAATGAATTTTGTGAAATTCTTTAGATGATCTTACAAATTTTTAAATTGCTAGTGATGACTATTTTTTAAGAGATTAAGACGAGACTCAAATTTGAAATAGGTACAAGTATAACTTTATCATAGTTTATATCATTTCAATATCTCTATAATATGAAATAAATTAAAAAGGTAAATGGTCGATACATAGCTAAAAGTTGTAGGAGACCAAATAAATTAAACTATCATTGTGTTCGCTAATAGCATTAATCATTGCACAGGAGTAGGTGCTTGATGTGTCTGGAGAATGTCATTAGATCATATATTGGAGTTAATTTAGAATTATTAGCATTTATTATAATAATTATACTCTGTACTTGTGGCATATTGGGAGTTAATTCTGATTTATAATAACAATCATCATGTCCGCTTGTTTTTTTAGAATTTTCATTTTAAGTTTTGAAATAATTGTCTACCTCCATCCTTTCATTTTCCTTTTTTAAAGATTAGTTTAATTTTGAATAAAAATAAAAAATTAGATAAAAAATAACGAGAATGATTAAAATTGCTAATACTATACAAAATTAAAAAAATAAATAAGATAATCAATAGAAATTTACTTGAAACTGGTAAGAAATAAATTCAAAATATATGGAGTGGTGGATTTTAACATTTTACGCACTATACAAGTTATTAATGTACAACTTCTTCTTATTTTTAGGAGAAATTATATAGAACAATCCCAAATTTACCTGTTCTTTCAAAAAATAAGTAGTAGTACATTAATACTATGTATAGTGCGTAAAATGTTAGAACTCTCCACACCATATATTTTTATTTTATTTATTACCAGTTTTAGATTAATTTTGTTGATTACCTTATATTTTATTTTTTACCTTTTTATTTCTTTAATTTTTTATGGTCTGAGTTATTTTTCTCATTTCGTTATTTTGTATATCTTTTTTTATTTGTTCTAAAGTGAGACTAATCTATTAAAAAAGAAAGAGAAAAGGATGTAGAATGTACTCCCTCCGTCCTAAAACTTTTTTCCCACTTCCCATTTTTCTCCGTCCTAAAACTACTTTCCCATTAGAAAAAAAGATGACAAATGACATTAATACCCTCATGTATTTACACCAATTATCTTCTAACTCTATATTTTGAATGATTGTAAAAAAAATTCAAAAAATCTTTTTTAAGGAGGGTAAAATTTGAAGTCAAAGCCAAAAATTAAAAATGGAGAAAAGTCAAACTGGGAAGAAAGAATTAGGACGGAGGGAGTAGTTTCTAAAATTTAAATGAAAATTTCAAAAAGAAAAATGTAAAAATTATCAAAAATAATCCCAGCTTCAATTCGTTACACAAAAAATGTTGTTTCCGTTACTCGTTGTTTGCAACTTAACGCCAACTTAAAACACGCAAACTTTTGTAAAATTAAAATTATTATGCATCATAATAAAATGCGAGATTATTTTTGAAAGACCAGATAAAGTTGGGATTACTCTAAATAATTTTTCTAATAATAATACTCTATTATTGTGGTGTATAGACTATAAAGCATCTCTATAATTGTGAATTAAAGAATGAAGGGATTAAAGGTAACTAACGGTGTTAGGGGCATTTGGGGTATAAAGTGCATAGTACAAGTTTTAAAGCTAATGGTACATGTATTTTTGAATGGAAAAGGTGCATAATATTAAGGGGTACCTAACCCTCTTTCACATTTATATAATAGAAAAAGAAGATATATGCATACACACACACAGATTATATATATATATATATATATATATATATATATACACATACATACATACATACATACATACATACATACATACATACATACATACATACATACATACATACATACATACATATATATATATATATATATATAGTATTTATTATATACAAGACACTTGAATATCATAAATCAAAATAAAAAAAACTAGAAGGACGGAGGGGCACACATGACAACATTCGAGTGTGGCTTGGTTTACCTAGCCTCCACAAGACAATAGTTGATGCAAACATGACCGACAAAGTACACAAATAATTTGAGCAACGAAACGTCGCCAAGTACCCAAACAGGGGCAGACGAGAAGGGGCAATTGTTTCAAGAATGCGTGCAACATGGTAGGGTTAAGTAAACTAATAAGTTTTCACAAAATTGGATGCTGCAAAGGAGCAGTGGTAACAAATGAAACTAATAATGTTGCAACTTCGTTCATTCATTCATAAATGGCATCAAGAAATTAAAGAAGGGCAGCGCCGCAGCTCATGCTCCTCTTCATCATTATCATTTTCTCGGCAGCGCCGGCGTTTCGGTATGACGTTGTTGATTTCACTTCCTCAACACGCTGCTGGGAATTGAATTCACCCAAAACATGTTTTGGAAAGAGTTTTCAAGCTAGCTAGAAGATTCATTATTTATGTATTTATGTACCTCTTCCTCTTTTCTTTTCCTCTCCATCTCTTCCTGTTGTACATATACATATCAGCTGATTTCCATGTCAATGAAATATATTATAGAAACATGATCTCAAAAACACAGCAGAAAGTTTGATTTCACGTAGCATAAGAAAAAGCACTGGCAAATAAAAAGTGAATAATTGAAATTCGTTTAGAAAAGGAAGAAATGTGGATCACATACCAATGCTCGTTTGAGATTAGAATTTTCTTCTTTCAACTGATTCAGCTCAGCTTCAAGCTCAACTGTGTAAGCCTGCAGGTGATGATCGAAACATTAAGATCGAACTTCTTTTGGAATAGCGTTTTCAATTACCGTTTATATTTTAGATAATTTTTAATCGTACAGATTACCATTGAAAACGTTAAAACTAAACGCTTGTCATTAGATTTATACTACTTCGTATTTTCGAAGTGCTGAAATTGTTCCTAAACGGGGACTAACTTATCATTTGTACGTGGGCTTCCCAAACCACTTCTCTAGCTATTTACAATATGTCATCATAAGAGTATTTAGAACACCAAGGTTCAAGTGACATTGGAAGGCGATGTCATGGGATGACCCAGGGGCGCTCCAATGCCTCGTTCGTAAAATTGACGGTTCCTATCCCCCCTAAGCCCCTTGGTAAACCCTCCACCCGGCCGAGTTTACCGGGGGCTAAGAAGGGAAGGAACCGTCAATTTTACGAACGGGGCATTGGAGCGCCCCCGGGTCATCCCATGACATTGCCCTCCAATGTCACTAAGCCGGACAACCATATATTAAAACAAACTAGAACATTAATAAAGGAAAATAAAAGTTCATCAAATTAACACTTCCGCTTAGCTTGAATAATACTGAGAAAAGTATGTATTATATCACACCCTCCCCACCCCATTTTCTTAAGAAATAAACCAATCCAACAAAAGCAAATATAGAACTGTCAAACACATTCAAAGAGTAGGAGGGCCTAGCAGGGTGCATGAGAATAGAAAAAAAACAAACAAACCTGCTTCCTGGCTCGGGATCTTGCAGCGGATTCTCTATTCTTGATCATCCTCCTCTGCCTACGCTCCACCACCACCTCCACCGGTCCATCTGTGATCCGCTTCCGCCCTCCCCCTCTCATCCCGGCACCCTCTTCTAACCCGTACGTGTTTCCTCCATCCCCACCTTGATGATGCTCATCAGGGGACGCCGGACTCGCCTGCGACGATCCTAGACCACCTACTACATGCCCGTACACGGCCCCACCCCCACTTCCGTTCCCCATTCTCCCGCCATAAACAGCGGACAGCGGCGGAGGTTGTTGTGGAAGCGCCTGGTGGTAAGGTGCAGGCACTCCTACCCCACCTCCGCTGCCGCCCAAGCCCATCACGGCTCTTCCCGCCACATAAGTGGCGGGGTTCATGACTGTGCTATCATTGTTGTTGTTTTGGTATGTCATCGAATATTGTTGTTGTTGTTGCTGGTGGTGTTGCACTAATGACGTGGACGGGGCAGGAATCTCCGCCTGCTCCCGAACCACACCCGCCCGGACCAAGAAATCCTCCAGTGTCATTTCTCCAAATGTAACCTGTCTTTCATGGGTCGCTGCCACCGCCGCCGTCACAACAAGATTATTATTGTTATTATTTAAATCATTAGTATTACTATGAAACTCTCCATCCCCTCCGCCGCTGCCACCTGGTGGCATTTGATGGTTTTTACGAATCTCGGCCCAAACTTCATCGACCGTTTTCCGGCACAACGGCTCTGGCAGCGAGAGCGATCCTTGTCTTGTCAAGCTTGCTGGCTGCATCCTCGGAAGATTGTTGCCATTGCTGTTGTTGTTATGATTAGCATGGTCGTGGCCCATGACAAAATTGTGGGTCACTGCTGGGACATGGGCATGGTTCTCCTCGGCAGTCCAGATGCTAGTAAGGAACTCGTCCATGTTCATGGACCCGAAGTGTCTCCCGCTCTCGCAAAGGGTGTGCTGGAACTCGTCAAGTGTGAGGGAGTAGATAGACGACTGTCTGCCGAGGGATGACGTGGGCAACCCATTATTGTTGTTGTGGTTGTTGTTGCTGTGAAGATGATGATTCTCGGGAGGTTGCAATTGCAATGTTGATTCTACCTCGCCGCCTTGAGATGCTGCCATTTCTGAATCCGGGGAAACCATCAAGAGCCTAGCTTCTTGATAACTCACAAGCGCTGCTGCGCTGGCCTACTTAAAATTGTAATGAGAGCATGCAGTTCCTCCTACCTGGAAATTGTGAATTTGAACTTTGTTAGCATTTATGAGTACGAGAAATTTACACTAAAATAAAATGATTTTTTTCTAAATAATATCATTGTTTTTAATTTCCCAATTAGGTATTTTTAGTCATTATCCATTAGTCATTATTCAAATAAATTTTTATTATCACTCGACATTATTTCTCCTTTTAGACATGGAGAATTTACCTAAATAATACTAAAACATAACGACTTTTTCTAAATAGCACCATATGTGTTTTATTTCCCAATGTAGCACTTTTAGTCATATTCAAGTAAATATTCGTCATCACTGGTCATTATTTCTCCTTCTGGACATTATTAAGTGTTATTTATAGTATAAAACAATTTAAGTGCTATTTAGAAAAATGACTTAAATTTTAGTGCTATTTAGTGCAAATACTTCTTTAGACTTTATTAAGTGCTATTTAGGGAACTAAAAAATTTAAGTGCTACATTGGGAAATGACTTATGTTTTAATGCTATTTACATGCTATTTACAGCAAATATTTCTTATGAGTATACTATGCCCGCTACCCCCTTCTATTGGAAAAAAAAATTTCACAATCTCTATTTTAATACTTTAAGCATTATATATATATATATATATATATATATATATATATATATATATATATATATATATAATGCTTAAAATATTAAAATAGAGATTGTGAAAATATATTAAAATAGGGGTTTCATATTTTTATTATTGGTATGACCTCGGGACAAAGGAAAGAACTTAGCCCATGCAAATTTTAAAAAATAGGAGTGTGTATATGTTTTAGGTTGTTGATATTGATGAGTAAGTGACAAGTAGAGCACATGCTTTTTTTGTTACATAAATATGATAAAAAATACGAAGTTGCTCTTCATTTTTGTTGAGGTATAAGACACTCCTTAAAAAATGTCACTATTGGATCTTTTTATTATAGTGTCAGATATAAAAAATAGTGAACTTGACATTAAATAGTATTAAAATATACGTTTTTCTCGATGTAGTATTTAAATTTTTTATTACGTAAATAGTACTTGAATAATGTCTAGTCGGAAAAACAATATCCAGTGATGGTGGAAATTTAGTTTGAACAATGTCCAGTGACAGTTGATATTTTTTTGAACAATCACCTGTGAACTTTGAACAGTGGTACTCTATTAGAAAATAAAAACATATGGTATGTTTTAGCGTTATTTAGATAAATATCCCTAAAAAATAGCCATGATTTATATATTAAATGAAGTCCTAAATCTAATAGACTATGAAGAAGTGACCAACCTAGCTATTTGGTCTCAAATATGATTCGCTGAGGAGACTTCATGAATTTTCATTTAGATATTAAGGTATGCAATTATAAATTAATAAGATTAGAAATTTGATATTTTATTACTTTTACAACTATCATGGTAATTACTATTATTAAAAAAAATAAATCAAAGGGTACACTAAAATGGAGTACCCCATTTGTACACCAAACAAACACAGACAAATACAAACACTTTATGTTTGTGATTCACAAACACTAAGTATCCGTATTTATCTGGTGTATAAATAGACTGGGTACCTCATTTTGATGTAACCCCCTCGAAAACATTAGTGATAGACTTTATTTCAATATCACAGTTCACACATTGACTTGGACTCTTGTTCATGTCGGTTAGGACCACTCTTAACGGCCATGCACGTTAGAGTTGGCATTCCCAACCAAATATTTTTTTTGTTCCAATTAGCTTGTAAAATTTATAGAAATCATCCTAAATAGAACTAAAACATAGAGAAAAGTATCAAAATAGGACTTCCATGTTTTTTTTTCCGGAATAGAACTTTGCACTGTGGTAATGTGACTTTGCATTGTGGTAATGTGGCAGTGTACATGTGCAAATTACTATGCTTTTTTGGTAATGTATATGACCATGTTTGGTAATGTAGTCCTATTTCAGGAATAAAAACATGAAAGTCCTATTTTGGTATATTTTCAATGTTTTGGTCCTATTTTGGTCTTTCTCCCTAAAATTTATTCTATGACAAAATAATACTCCCTCCGTCCCGCTATATTTGTCCACTTTTGACTTTTGGAACTGTTCATCTAAGCACTTTGACTCATCAAATTCTCTCAATGTGTAAGCCTAAATATAGTCATGTGTGATCTTGTTTGATTTGTCTTAACATATAGATTATTAATATATAATTTCTATAATTTTTTAATATACAAATTACAAGATAAAATGAAATTAAAGAAGTGTATTGGATGGTGTGTAAAAATGAAAGTGGACAAATACTCTATGAGGGAGGGAGTACTCTAAAAAGTTTGTAAAAGTAAGGTGTGAGAAAAAGTATGAGTAAAAGTTCAAACTAATTTGACCACAAAAAACAAAAATGAAAAATACACCCACACCGAAATTAAAGCTGGTTTCTTTACAAATATAAGCAAAAGTTAAACTAGTTTAACTCCATTATTAAGGAGTATTTAATAGAGATATTTACTTAAATAGGACTAAAACATAATAACTTTTTCCCAATAAAGGATCATATGTTTTTATTTTCCAATGTAGGACCTTTGGTCATTATTACATAGTCATTATTCAAGTAAATGTCCATCATTATTGGACATTATTCCTCCCATTAGGTTATTATATAGTCCTATTTAGGGAATAAAAAAGTTTAAGTCCTACATTGGGAAAGTCATTATGTTTTAGTCCTATTTAGTGCAAATTTCAGTATTTAATAACATTTGATTACTCCATATATTTTACTTTGTTTCAGAAATACTTTTCACTTTCACCATTCATCTATATCAATAAATTAAACATTTTCACTTTGAAGTAATATCTCCTTTTACCACTAATAATACCCTCTCAGTTCTAAAATTTACTTTCTATTTGACTTTTCACGGTTTCTAATGTAATAGTTTGACCATCAATATCTTCATTCTTATATAAATATATTTTATAAAAATAATATACTCCCTCCGTTTCTTAAAACCCTTCCTCTTTCATTTTTTTTGTTTTTCTTAAAACACTTCCCCTTTCTATTAAAAAACCACTTTTACCCCTACTTTTTCATACCCTACCTATCACATCATACTTTTTCACTAACAACTCAACTATCACATCTTACTTTTACCCATCACATCAAGGGCAAAATTGGAAAGTCAACTACAATTTAACACTTCCTTATTTTCCCCCAAAGTCAAAAGAGGAACTCTTTTGAGAAACGGAGGTAGTATTTCAAAATGAATATATTGATAATAAATTATGAAAATTCAATGTATTTATTTTCGTAATATATAGTCAACGCTTATAAAAATTTGACGACATAAGTCAAATAAGGAAGTTAATTTTAGGAGGAAGGGAGTTATTCTATAATAAACTAAGTGCAAAATTAGAAAGTATCATTAAAAATATAATTTCCTTAAATTCCAAGTTTTGTGAAAAACAATAACGAAATGGAGGTAGTAAATGAGAGGTAGTGATATGTCAGATATAAAAAATCGTAGTGATAATTAATATATTCATTATACATTTATACTCCGTATGCATTAAGGTAGTGATACGTCAGATATAAAAAATCGTTATTATTGAAATAGGGAAGAATTATTCTTTTAGGATTTGGAAGTTTATTTTATACGAATACACACCTAAATCTGGCCACCGGAACACGATAAATTAATCAAACGTAACGTCGCAATTCATTTCATATTTTGGGAGTATATAATAAGGAAATAATTAAACACTGGTGGTATTTATAATACGGTAATAAAAAATACTCTCTCAATTTGACTAAATGCTCTAAACAATATTCCAAACATACCCAAGTTGACAACTAAATTCCACTTTAAGATTTGAGAAATAGGTTTGAAAAATATGAACATATGATAATATATTAATTATAATCGACTCATTAGAATTAAAACAATCCACTTTGAAGTTGGAACGGTTTTTTGGAACATTATTTTTAAATAACTTTGGGGTTTTATATTATTCTTTTACGTAATAATGGACATTGACTTTAAAAATACTTTGCATTAAAAGTTAAACGAAAGGGATTATTGTCATGCTTGACATCAGTATTAGAGGTTAGTTTAACATTTTGAAAAGACTATCCGACAATAGTCTTTAGCATTAGCATTTTTATAATAAATCTATACCATTAAAATTTTATCCAAAATGTTAACGCTAATTAGAAAATATTATTTTCAAAGAAAGCTGGTTCAAGAAGGTTAGTGAAACTCAAATTCGGACGTACCTTTACGTGGATTCTCCCAACGCTCGACGTCGTCGTTCCAACTCAGTTAATTAGGAAACTCCGATGCGGGCGTGTATATATCTATATATACATATACATATACAGACTCCAGATGACCAGATATATATATATATATACTTCGTAGTATACAGTTAGTTTAGCTTGGAGCTGAAATGCTTGACTTGCTGATGAAGGGAATTAATTAAAGACCTACGAAAGCAGAATTATTATGCGTACTCCGTATATCAAAATGGATGTTTACAGTTTAAAAATGTTTTATAAAAAAACACGCTAAGCTCCACGACAAAATTTCGCTCAAAGGAGCTGGGGGCGGCGGCGGCGCTGCATGGGGGGCGAGGGACACGTAGCCGACACGTGGCGGAGGCGCAGTAGCTTCCTCCCTCCGGAGCCTAACACGCGTCGGACTCTGCCACTGGCACGTGCTTTTGTGGGACCCGCTCTGCTGCGGATATATATGTATGCTTATTTACCACCTTGCCCCCGCGACCGCTGCCTCCCATTGGCCCTCTTTTTTCAGCTTTTCTATCTTCGCAAGGCCGGCCTTGTGCATTTGTGTAATTCTATTAAATATATATACTGTCATGTTAGCTCTACTCTTTTTTTTGCCGTTTTGAGTTATTGCTGTCTGCTGAAGCTTATCTCCAAAACCAGAATTAATAACTAACTCCCAAATTCTCAATCTTTCCTTTCTATGCTAGATTATTCCTTTCGTGCACCTTGAATGCATATTAGTTTTATGGATTTTCTT